TGTCTCCAATTTCTTCTCTCCCATTCTTTTGGGAAAGTGCTCCAATGGGACTTTGGCCCCTCCTCTCCACCAAACTCTTCTTGTGTGATTACTAATGGCCTCCGTATTTCTGTGCCCAGTGGTCAGTCCTCTATCCTTATCTTGTATAACTAACAGCAGCCTTTCAGACACTGATCCCACTCCCTAACTTGAGATTTATCTTTACCAGGCCTCCAGCTCATTACGGTCACCTGATTCATTTCCTGTCTCTCTGAGTGTTCCTTCTTAGTATACTTTGCTGGTCCCTCTTCATTTTTCCAACCTTTTGTGTTGGAGTGCCTCAAAGCTCAGAGCGTGGACCTCTTCTCTTCCTTATCTGTGTTCTCTAGGTGATCTCGTCCGGTCTCAGAGCTTGAAAGACCGTCTATATGGCAGTGACTTCAGTGTGGGCCTCTGGACCCTACAGCCCACTGCCTGAGCAGATCTCCTAACTGGGTCCCTCGTATACGACTGGTCTAAAACTGAGCTTGTGCTGTTCTCCAGCCCCAAGCCGACTCTCCTCTGGTCTTTCCACATCAATGGAAATGTCATCTTCCCAACGGCTCAGGCTAAAGGCCTCAACTTCATCCTCGACTCTTCACGTTCTTATTATGCTGCACGGAATCTGTCAGGAACTTGTTTCAGCTCTACTGGCAAAATAATACACAGAATCTGGTGACTTCTTGCCATCTCCACTGCTAAGGGCTTAGTCCAAGCCAGCACCGTCTCTCCTGGATTACTGCAGCAGCCCCTGCTGGTCTTACTGTACCCGGCTTTCTCTCCCTTGGTTTAGTCAGGAGACTTCCTTCCCTACGATGGCTTCTTACGCCACTTCTTGTGAAAGCCAACACCCTGTGCAGTCAGGCCCCTCTGACCTCATCTGCGGCTACTCTACCCCCTCCATCTATGCCTCATCACGTGGGCCTTGCAAACGGCAGATGCCCCTTTCCCTCAAGGCCTTTGCCCCTGTTGCTTCTGTCTGGAATCTTCTTCCTCCGGAATCTGCAGGGCTTACTCCGCTTCTCCTTCTCGCTGTCAGCACCCATTTCCCTCACGTTTCAACTCAAAATTCTCTCCCCAGAAGGACACACACAACTATTCCCTTTCCCTGATTTTTTCTTCCTAAGATGTATCGCTAATATATCCCATACTTTGTTCTATGTATGTAGACAATTAGAATGTAGACTCCAGCAGGTCAGGAACTTTTGTGTGATTCATGCACGGCTGTATCTCCAGTGCCTCTGATCGTACCTGGCTCATAGTAAGTGCTCAGTAAGTATTTGTTGAATGAATGAATGGATGGACGCATGAAGTTGCACTGGAGCCTCAAATTTTGGTGAAATGGGCTTTGAACCCATGGAATGGTTCCATGCCCGGCAACAACTTTCAGAATCAGTTTGCCACAGTATGTTAATTACTCAGATTCCGAGCCTTCTTCGGACTGACCTCAGGCACCCAGTATTTACACGTAACACCGAAGATTTTCCCCTCATTCCAGCTGATGAGGATAACAACAATGAGGATAACAGGTCAAGCTCGTGTCAACATTTTGCGTGATTCGTTCTCATCTTTCAGTGTCATTTTTAACTGCCAAACCACTCACCCCATATGTACAGTGGTAGTCACTATGTTACCACCATTACTAAGTCTTTTGATTATAAATGGGTGCCTCTGCTGTCAGGTTATCTCAATGTTCTTGAGTCTTTTGCCCTGGTTACACATGATAAGGTTAATGATGTTTGTAAATCTGCAAATGCCTTCCGTGTTCTCTACAAGCATAACGAGCTCTCTGTAGACCAGAGACTGCAAATTACTGACAGGACATTTAATTTTTTTTTAACTCCTTGACAATATTTTAAAAATTAGATGATCTCACATAAAAATCTAGACTTCTGGTTTCTCCCGTGCGATCCAACTGGCACTCCTTGTGCTACTACCTTTGGACAAGACGTACGTTTTCCAGTGCGTGTCAGTTTCTGCCACTTATACTCAGCCCGTGTCACCCAGTTTAACTACCTGCATGGTCCCTGTGGGTGGTTGACAGTGACTCATACCACAGGCAGGGAAATGACTTAGAGACGAAGACAACCCTGTGCGCCCAGCAGAGCCACCTGCTAGGGTTGGCCGAATTGGCCCACTTATTCTGAAGTTTTGTCTTCTGTCCTGAACACTTAACAAAACGAAAAGTCTATAAATTCAGTAGCTCCAGTAAATCTGCTCCCACCAGCAGTTTGGGAGAGTTCATGCTTCCTTCATTCAGGGGCTTTTTTAAAATTCTTAATTAAACAAAAATACATATTTTTTGTTCATCTGCCATTTACCCTTCATTTCTGCGGATTTAAAGAGGAAAGGACAGTGAGGAGGGAGATGAGACGACAGAGGCCCCTTCTTCCCATGTTCTCATTCCTCTGGCTGGAGTTTGTAAAAGACTAGGGGGCCTGTGAAGGCCAAAACCTTCACTGTGTAGACAGCAGACAGAGCCCGCTGGAGAGGGCCACTCACCTACTGAGGTTAAAATGTGTGACCACTCGGGCACGTATAACAGTCACATCTAAAATAGTCCGTCTAAAAGAAGACCTCCATCGGCTGGTTAGCAAACACTCAGCCTTCATCTGTAAAATGTTCGTAGCCAAAGGACAATGGGAAAAGCAAGTAGAACTCATTAAATGTCACTGAGGTCCAATCCTGTTTACTTTGGATTGGAAGCAAGAAGGAAGGATGCAGATTGTCAGGATTTCGGCTCTGCAGTCTATGGGAACAGAGAATGTGTCTGTCTCATCCACCGCTGTATACTCAATGTCCCGCCAAAAGTAGGCTGACTGAGGAAAACGGTGAATGAACTTGGACATTGTGGTCACTGCAGGCAAAAACAAGTTTTGAGATTTTCTGGGCACTTCCAGGGTCTCGCCAATGGAAGCAGATCTTACACATTATTGGAAATGGAAATGGATTGTTAATCTTCTTGTTCGGTCTAAGAGACTTCATTTTGAGCCATTTCCTTTCCCTGAATAGGAAGCTTCTCAAAATGGACAGAATTTAAAGTGCAGTGCACATGCCTGTTCCTTTGTTGACACTTAACCTTTATTGGGACAGAAAAACAAAAATAAAATGTAGTCCTTTATTGTCTAATACAATCTAAAATAATCTGAAATCTAATATAATATTAGTATATTCCATTACATGCCAAAAATTGATCAAAATTTGGCCTTTCTTCTCTCTCCCTCTCTTGATGTTAGATGTCAGACCTTGAACTTCTGCTGATTTGCTCCTACGTGCTTCCTCCTAGAGAGCTCACCTTGTTGCATGGTTTTGATGACCTCCATGCTGATGAGGCGCAAATCTGTGTCTTCCGCCTTGACCTAGCCCCCCAGCCTCAGTGACGGGGCTTGCATTTTGCACCAGTGGGCTCTCCTGAGCATTTTCAGTATTGCCTTAATGTCAGTGTGATCCAATGGATTTCCTTCTTGCCTCCCTGAAATGTCACATATCTATCCAGGACATTATCACTCTCCCCTCAGTTCCTTAGCTAATTGACCTCAGTCATCCTTGACTCATTCATCTCATTTATCCCCTACACGTAGTCTCAGAGATAGTCTGTGTGCCTCTTGCTTCTGTCGCTCACTGCCACGATCCCAGGCTGACAGTTCCTGCCTCATACGTTAGTATGAGGTAGTACCTAGTACCTAGTGGCCATGGCCTCCTACCCTTCTTACTTCCAGTCACTGCCCGCTCCATTCCATTTCTCTGCCACCAGACTAATCTATTTCATTGTTTTCCTCTCTACTGCGTATGTTTCCTCTGATCCTCTGTACCTTTGTTTGTTTTGTGTCTTCTACACAATAAATTCTTCATGAGACCCATGAAGTAAATGCTTGTTTAATAAAGGAGTGATTGAAATAAGGAAGCTGTGTCATATGAACCGACTGAAGCTGCACTGACTATGTTTTGGCCGACTCTGCAAAGAATTAGCAGCTGATTCATATTCCTATTTAAGGAATGGAGAACTTGACCAGAAATATTTTCATTTTGCTGCTGCAGATACACAGTAAAAACAACAACTTTTCATCTGGGCCTCAGTGTCCTTACCTTCGGATGGAAATAGATGCCACTTATATCATGGGGTTGCTGGAAGTCTTAAAGGTGATGTGTTAAGGCCCTCAGCACAGGGCACTAGCAAATGCACAATAAATTCCAGTTGAATTTTAAAGAAAAGATTGAATGAATGAATGAATGAATGAATGAATGAATCGGACTTGGCGTAATGAAATGTTTAGGTATTTTATGTAGACCTCAAGTAACCAACTCAGATTCAGCTAAAATTTGGCACTAGCTAGGACCACTGTGTTAGCTGTGCTAGGAATAATCTCCTTTATTCTTCAGGGTAACCCTGTGACATAGGTGGGAGTGTCTCCAATTTACCTATAAGTTCAGCTGAGTAAAGGGGAAACTCCTTACCCAAGATCTGGTGCATATGCTGGAATCGGGAGTTATCTCTAAGATTTCTAATTTCAGGTCTTTTGCTTTTCCTGCACACCATGTTCCCCAAATATTTTTCTTAGTAGTTTTTTCATTTTTATTTTTAGCTTTACATTGTTAAAAGGCTCATGACTTTGCATCTTAAGACTTGATGCACACACCCTTTTTCTTGTATTGTTTTCTATGTGCTTATTTTAAAATCTCGGTCCGTGTATTTGTATTCTTGGTGGTTGGAAGGATATCAAATATTGTCTCAGCAACAGCAGCATATGTGTTCACAAAAGTTGAGGAAATACTGTATTTCCAGCATGGGAAGCCGAAGGTAAGTGGCCTACATTCACTTCGGCCCGCATCTGTTTTAATGACTCTGTTAGTGCAAATGGGTTGTAAAATGCCAGTGAGTATCTATGGAGTTGTTATAAACTCAAGTTACGCAAATTCTCTACCTTGGAAATGGTCAGAGCCTGCATCGTTTGCTAGATTTAACTTTTTAATACTTAAAAACATTGCAGGGCTAACATTTTATTGCACTTGACATTTTATGAAAATGAAATTCGCAGCTGTGAACAGCCCTCTTCCGTTTATACTCTACCTGGCAATAATAGCTATAATTAGCTTTTGTTGTACTGTTATCAGAAAGGGGTAGTAAAATTAGCACTAGCCAGATGTAAAATCAGTCTTTAAATGGCAGCTGCATATATGTAAATTCTCCGGAAGACCTCTCATGCTTTGTAAATTTTAGATATGTATGGAAAATTTATCCCTTTGTTCAACTTTTCAGTCCCACATTGTTTATGGAATCAATTTGCCTTCTCAGCTCCTCCAATATTTATTGCATTTGTACTATGAGCAATGAATTGGATTAGGTGCTAGGTGAGGGTGCAATTCCTGTACTCCAGAAGCTGACGTTTCGGCCGGGTGAGGCACGTAACAGTCCCACACTGTATGTATGTGCCGGTCCCTCTGAAATGCCCTTCATCACTCTCTCTCTCCTGCTTCGCCTGGCCAGCTTCCATAGACTGTTGGGGGCCCAGCTCCACATCTTCTAAAATGCCTTCCTGCCCGCCGCGCCACCCCCATCATGTCACTGGTACCTTGGGCATCTGTCTCTCACCGTGTTGATCAAAGGGCGTTATAATTGTTGGGATATTTAGTAACCTTCCACATTGTGAAATCCTTGAGCGTGTGAGAGGAGTCTTCTGGTGTTGTCTCCTAAGGGCCTGGCACGGAGGATGTTCCTCCTAAGAGCTTGATGAATGAATCAAGATGTTACAAACACATACGGACATGCAGATAGACACGGAGGTTAATGGACAATACAGACACGGAGCTTAATGGACCAAGAAAGGTCGCGTGCAGTAAATGTCAAGGATGACTTACAGACAAGTACTGTAGGTGCTAGGAAGAGAACAAAAGGTAAATTGGTGGTCAAGGAGCAGGGACTGCTTTGTGGACCTGTGACGCGTGTCACCCAGGGCCCTCTGCTCAGAAGGGCTCCACCCTTGGCTTAATGTTCTGTCGTCCACGTCTGAACATCCTTGATCATTTTTGAACATAGAGCCCCACGTTTTCGTTTTGTACCGGGGCCCACAAATGACGTAGCCAGTCTCGTTCTTGGGACCGGGAGAATGATTCAGATTTATAGAAATGGGGAGTGAAGGAGCAGGCAGGGAGAGCGCGCAGGAATCTGATAGGCGTATGAGAAATGTTCCAGTTTTGTCAGATGGCTAACAGACCTGCTCGGGAGCACCAGAGGGCTTATGCCGTCAGTACGTGGACTGAAAGATAGATCGAGGCAGCATTTAGACATTATCCTGCAAGTGGTGGGTGATCTCCGATGATTAATGAGCAGGAGAATGAGGGGAGGGAGGTGTAGCTTGATGAAGAGGAGTATGGTGGTGATGTGCAGGATGTATTAAGGGTCGGTGTGGTGGGAAGTAGTGAATCAGGAAGTTGACCCGAAGCCCAGGGCTATGGTAGTAAGGGTATATGGTAGAAGAGGCATAGAAAGCACAAAATTGGGAAAGACTATCAGGGACAAATAAATGCAACTTTGGCCGCAGGAAAAAGGAGGAGTCAAAAAGTACTCTGGACCGCCCGGGGTCAGTGATGCACTTCTGGCTGAACTAAGGACGGGGTGCCCGGGAGCTTCTTTGTCAGAGGAAGAAGGAGTTGAGCTTTAGATATTTGCAATGACAGCGGGATTTCAAAATAGAATTGCTCGTTTTGCAATTATGTGTAAATAATCGTTCGTGGAGAAGATGCTTAACGCATCAAATGTCACTTAAAGACAGGACATTAACAGCGAACACATTAACGCTACGTAAAGTCCTTTAGATCAGTTTTAGGAGAGGGGTGAGATGAGCAGCCCAGTAAAGACAGTGTGGGAGTTAGGAGATGGGGTCATCCTTGACTGCTTTTTTTCGTCTGTTCAGTCTCTTTCTTCCTCTGTATTCAATCAGTTCCTTCTTGTCCTTTCTGTTTACCAAGCCACCAAGTGTCCCTTGCATCTGCCCACCTGTCTTTGTCCCACCACTGCGTGCCCTCGCCTTCCACCCACCTGAAGCCACAGGTCTCTGGAATGGTCTGATCTTTATCCTCTCCACGCCCACTCTTTCTCGTTGGAGGTGGGGAGGTTTTTCTAAGAGACAGTAGTAAGGGTATAAGGTGTCACTTCCTGTTAAGAATTGTGTCCTCCCCTAAAGATATTGAAGTCCCAACCACAAGTGCCTATGAATGTGACCTTATTTGGATATAGGGTATTTGTAGAAGATGACATCAAGATGAGGTCAGAAGGGTAGGTTTTAATCCGGGATGGCCGTCTCCTTATAAAAAGGGGAAATGTGCTACCACAGAGATCTGGGGGATGCCTCTATCAGAAAGAATTGTCAGCAGACCACCAGAAACTGGAAGAGCCATGGGTAAACCACCCGATTTGTGGTACTTTGTTACAGCTGCCCTAGGAAACTAGTACAGACTTTAAAACAGTTCCCCATTCTTTTCAGAGTAAAGACCAAACTCCCTAACTCATCTTGAAAGACCCACCAGGATCTGGTCTCTGCTGGATTCTGCAGCCTTTTCTCTTTCTTTGCACCCCACCCCCTTCCGAAGCTACACCTTTGCACTCATCACAGCAGGAGTACTTAGCTCCCCCATGACATTCCTTTGTGGCCAAAGTACATTTCTGCCTTTCCTTTCTATCTCCTTCTTCCAGTCAGCAGAGTCCTCTGCATTCATTTTATTCAACAAATATTGTTGAAATGCCAGATAGAGTGTTTAGAAGCTAACAAAACATGCACAGCCCTTGGTTTCATGGGCTTTCCAGTCTAGTAGGAGAGCCCAAATGAGGTAATAGTCGATAAGAGATGTGAGCAGAATGTTGGAGGCCATAGAATAGATGAATTGCAGAAAGTGCTTAAGCACACACAGCAGCTGGCCCCCAAGCCTGGAATGAGAGACACCAAGAAGAAACAACTCAAATGCCACCATGGACTCAGCAAAGCTCAAAACTCTGAGGCACCACATACTTTTGAAGGTTGTTGTGCAAGACGGAGCTGGAAAACACGAGGATTGGTAGACAGGTTATGCGAGGAGCAGTAAGACCGTCCTCACTCTGCCCTGACCTCCCCCCCCCCCCCACATTGCTATTATATGTTAAAAAGGAGTATTCAGAGAAAAAGAAGGAGGCTTTGGCTATTAAAAAGAAGAAGGAAAGGAAATGTTCAATGGAAATCTTGAAGGAAAAGTTGACATACTTCCGTGACAGTAGAAATAGGCCAAATGACAAGGGCGCCTGGGTGGCTCAGTCGATTAAGCGTCCAACTTTGGCTCAGGTCATGATCTCGATGTTCATGAGTTCAAGCCCTGCACCAGGCTCTGTGCTGATGCTCAGAGCCTGGAGCCTGCTTCGGATTCTGTGTCTCCCCCTCTCTCTGTCCCTCCCCTGCTCGCACTCTCTCTCTCCTAACTAACTAACTAACTAAGCAAGCAAGCCAAGATACAGAAAACAGAAGGAAAAATAAAATTAGAAGGTCAAGCCAGGTAGCCCAACAATCAAATCCAATCCCAATGAAAGAGAACACAGAAAACAGAGGAAATGAGAGAGAAAGAGAGAGAGAGAACTCTCCAGAACTGAAATATTTGAATTTTCCACATTAAGTGATCACAGAATCCCTAGCACACAGTGGATGAAAACATATCCACTGTAAGGCATATCATAACATTTCAGAATGCCTGGCACAAAATAAAAATCCTAAGTATTTCCAGGAAGAAAAAAAATGACACGTAAGGGATCATACATCAGGATAGTATCAGACGCTGAAACAATCCCTCCAGAATTTTGACAAAAAATGATTTCCAGTGTGGACTTCCAAGAATGAGACTAGACTATACATATTTCCAGCTATAAAACATCTCGAGAGGGGTGCCTGGGTGGCTCAGTTGGTTGAGCGACCCACTTCAGCTCAGGTCATGATCTCGCGGTCTGTGAGTTTGAGCCCCGCGTCGGGCTCTGTGCTGACAGCTCAGAGCCTGGAGCCTGCTTCGAATTCTGGGTCTCCCTCTCTCTCTGCCCCTCCTCTGCTCAAGCGCTCTCTCTCTCTCTCTCTCTCTCTCTCTCTGTCAAAATAAATAAACGTTAAAAAAATTTAAAAAAAAAGTCTCGAAGAATTTATGTCCCATGCCATCTTTCTCAGGAATCTACTAGAGGATGTGCGTAGCAAAACAAAGAAGGAGATGGAGAAATGGAAGGTGCAGAGAAACAGGAGCTTCAACCCAGAGGGGGAAGAAGGGGAATCCCGGGATGATGGCAGAGGGAAGCTTCTGGATGGCAGCTGGGCAGCAGGACCAGAGAGGAGGACAAAGGACCCTAGGAAGAAGGGTAGAAACAAAAGGGAGATGTAAACATTGTGCCCGACATAACTGAGCTGTGAATATTTATGCGGTCATTGTCAACACGGAATGTTGATTTCACTAAGAGGTGTTATGCCTGTGTTAGAGGATGGTGGGGGAGCTTGTGTCTACACACTGGGGGAAGTGAGAGGGTCAAATCTCCGTCTCCCATGTAAGATGTAAAAACAAACAAACAAACAAAAAAAACCCAAAAACTGAACGTGGACATCCAGACCCAGCATGAACATAGCATCTTAGAAATAGGGAGTAGCAAGTTCGAGCCCTGCATTGGGCTCTGCGCGGACACTGTGGAGCCTGCTTGGGATTTGCTCTCTCCCCTCTCTCTCTCTCCCTCTCAAAATAAGTAAACTTAAGATAAATTAAAAAAAAAAACCAAAATTTAAAAGAAATAAGGAGTAGCAGAAGAAATAGACTGTTGAAAATCATTGTTTCTGGGGAATGGAAATTGGAGGTAAAGAAGGAGTGTGTCAGGAGACTGGTGTTTCTTCATAAACCCAAAGGTAATGTTTGATTTCTTTTTTTAAAATTTAAAAAATAAAATAAAATTTTTTATTTTTGAGAGAGAGAGAGAGAGAGAGGGAGAGAGCGGGTGAGGGGCAGAGAGAGAGTGAGACACACAATTTGAAGCAGGCTCCAGGCTCTGAGCTGTCAGCACAGAGCCCAGCGTGGGACTAGAACTCATGAACTTGAGATCATGACCTGAGCGAAGTTGGACGCTTAACCACCTGAGCCACCCAGGTGCCCCAGTGACTTCTAAAACCGTATGTGGTTGACCTTTGGGCAACATGGGTTTGAACTGCATGGCTCTACTTGTACGTGGATTTTTAAAAATACAGTACTATACTGTAGATGTCTTTCCCCTTCCTCTTGATTTCTATAATAACATTTTCTTTTCTCTAGCTTACTTTACTGTAAGAATATAGTATATGATACATATAAGATACAAAATGTGTGTTAACTAGCAGTTTATGTTATCAGTCATTAGTTATTGGTCAACAGTAGGCTGTTGGTAATTAAGTTTTGGGGAATCAAAAGTTACACATGGATTTTCAACCTTGGGGGGGGGGGCAGTGTTCCTAACCCCAATGGTGTTCAAGGGTCAACTATACTGATTAAAATATTAAGGCAAACATATGTCCGTAAACAAAAACACGTACATAAATGTTCATAGCCACATTGTTCATGTATCCAAAAAGTGGAAACAACTCAAATGTCTATCAACTAATGAATGGATACATAAAATATGGTATATCTGTACACTGGGATATTATTCATCTATAGAAAGGAGTAAGGTACTGGGGCACCTGGGTGGCTCAGTAGGTTAAGCGTCTGACTGT